TTCTTGCCACTCAGTGGCCCCGGGTCTCCGAAAACCCAAGATTTCAATTACTTCCCCATCGAGTTGGACTATCCAGTATGAGGTGAGCAATTAGTTCATCTGGGAAAATTAACCATCCACACCATGTGACCCCATGGTAAGAGAGAACCCGATGAAGAGCTGGGTCATGTCCAGAATGTTTCCAGAGACAGAGTACTGTCTGAAATTAGCAGGTTTCGGGACAGCTAGTGGTATGTCTGTAAATGGTTTTGATCAAGTTATTGATGGGGAGAAGCAGCTTCACAGCTCCAGTGGATGGATGAGATGCCGACGCAAACCTCCTAATTGCTTGGTTGAGGTAGCAAGTCAGATAGGTTGGTTATTTGGTTGACAAATCAGTGACTGAAAGGAAGCTACATACCCTGCTTTCTGAGCACCTCTGTGTTTTGCGAGGAAAAAAATTCCGTCCTTATCAGAGTAGTGGCGGTTGTAAATCTGCTACAGGGTTTCCTTTGAATGTCTTCTCCTAAAAGACAAACAGGGAAAGGATCTTCATGATCCATTACCTCATACTTAGACAAGTTGGCCCTCTGACTTATGAGATAAAGCATTCACAGGAAACTTGCAAGCACATCTAGCTCGAGGGTATGCTGTGACCAATTACTATGGAAGAACGTCCAGCAATTTGGCCAGCCTAGGCATCAGAGCTCAAACCTGATGAGTTTGAAGACGAGACTGTGTGCCAGATATGATGGTCAGGTAGTCGAAAGATTGCTGAGCTGAAAGGGTGTCGTAACCCTTAATTTCTGAGCAATCGGGTAATTTTGTCCAGCAGAATGTACGAGAACATATTTTGAGCACTACTCACTCACACCAATTGGAACGAAATTTTTTGAATTCATACATTTCAGGAATATGAAACGCAACTGTAGTCATAACCTGTTTAGAAACCTAATATTTCATTTTCATTTCTTCTTTATAATTTTGATATCTAAAAATAGTAATTGTAGTCAATTAATTTTCCTTTTCCGACACATATAAAATCGTTGCACTGTGAAACAGAAACAATCTGCAGTTCTTACAAGAACCTGTTAACATTCCTTATGTAAACAATCCTAATTTTGGAAAGAGTAGCTACTGGGTATAATGACTACTTTCTTTGAAATGAGTTAGTACTGGATTAATTAAAATAATCTGTCTTCAACCTGTTAAATACATTTTAATGAAACTTGTGATATAACTCTTATACTTTAACAAAACTTTATATATATAAGAGCTAGATTAATTTTCTTATGAAAATTAAGAATTCATAAAAATGTTAGTGTAGATTGAGTTTACATACTTTGAAGGTAAAAACCGTAAAATATCATTCGCAATGCAATACTCCATGCATAGCAACAACAACAACAAAGATACCCAGATCTTTGAAATTGACTTAAATGTAAATTCTGAAAGTATCTTAAAGGTCCCTGCCAATTTATATATTATATTTATCCTCTGTGGCTAAACTGTAAGTTTGGAGGTTTATAACGCTAATTTTTTTTTTAATTTTGCGCAAAGCTACACGAGGGCTATCTGAGCTAGCCGTCCCTAATTTAGCAGTGTAAGACTAGAGGGAAGGCAGCTAGTCATCACCACCCACCGCCAACTCTTGGGCTACTCTTTTACCAACGAATAGTGGAATTGACTGTCACATTATAACGCCCCCACGGCTGAAAGGGCGAGCATGTTTGGTGGGACTGGGATTCGAACCCGCGACTCTCAGATTGCGAGTTGAGCGCCCTAACCACCTGGCCATGCCGGGCCTTATAACGCTAATATTCGAGGTTCAAACTCCATGGCAGACACTAAGTAGATAGCACATTGAGTATATTTGAACCCCAGTTGTTCAACGGTAAGTTTACAGACTTACAGTGCTAAAATCCGGGTTTCGATTCTCCATGGTAGACAGAGCAAAGATAGCCTATTGTGTAGCTTTGTGCTAGAACAAAATTGTAGACTGTATACTATATTGTTAATTTTCTTTTCCTATAATACTTGTCACTGAACATGCTCGCCCCTTCAATCATGAGTTATAATGTGATGATCAATCCACTATTCGTTGGTAAACGAGAAGCCCAAGAGTTAGCAGTGGGTGGTGTTGACTAGTTACCTTCCCTCTAGTCTAGCATGCTAAATTAGGGACGGCTTGGGCAGATAACCCTCGTGTAGCTTTGCCCCAAATTCTCACCAAACCAAATTAACTTTTCATATTTTTTGGACAAGTCAAACAATTTACTAATTGTTACGTCTAAAGTTATAGATAAATTCAACCATTCATATAATCTTCTCTTATTCTTATAATACTCTACTTTTTCAGAATTTTACTTTCTTGTACAGAGCAGTTAAACTTCCATCAAGATAGATAGCAAAGAAAGGAACATTTTCCGAATGCTGAAAATTCTTTATTTTGTTTACACTTTAACATTAATCTTCACTCCAAAATAGCAACAATAACAAAAATACAGGATTTCTTGAAACAGTTTGATAAATGACACAGTTCAGATACAAAAATTAGTGAAAAATATTTCGTAACAAATAATCAACATGCTTATGGTACTAGGGATGTAGCAAGTTGAGGAAGATGATTCTCCAAGAGAATGACGACATAATGAATTGTAACTGGATGCATAACAGTATGCTTCATCAGTTTATCGCATAAGCGGCGGAAAGGGGAGGGCATATGCTCCCCACTTTTGACGAGATAGTGCACCTTTGAATAGGATAATAAAGACTTGTGTATAACTATTGTTACGACAGCAGAGGTCACGTGACCCTAGTAACACGCTCCGCGCTTCTAGAACGTTCATGAAGCGTCG